GCGGCCCCGGTGTCGGAGGCGGCCAGGTCCCGCTGCGGGAGGTTCAGACTTGGGGGTCTCGAGCAGGAAAACCCACGCCTTTTTCTTACGGCGCGCTGGCATCGCGCGTGGTGTCCCGTCCTTTGGTGCCACGTGGGGATGCGCGCGTGGCGAACGCCATCCTGCCCCGGCCCGTCTGAAACCTTACTTGGTTTCAGACTTCTGTTATTATGAACGCGCTCTGGAGGCATGTCGTACATCCCTGAAACGCACTGACCTCCCACCTAACTGCCTCTTGGCACGGTCTGTCTTGTAGCGTTGGTCCGATACCTTTGTTTTCCCGCCCATCCACAGCTCTACCAAAATCATAAGTGTTTGGGGTTTTTTTTTACATTTAGTGAGAGCGGAGGATGCTCACGGTCTAGTCTGGCGCGATTGAAGGAGAGCAACTCAACTGCAGCATCAAGGTTATCTCAGTGCTGCCATCCAGTGCAGGCAGGCCTTCAAAGACACCTTCACAGACACAAGTTCACCTTAAATCAGGTCCTGCTCAGACAGACAGACTGCCTGTACTGTCATGTGTGGGACTGACAGCCATCTGTCTCTCTCCGACTTGTGCAGTCACTCAGATGACGTTAGCACCCAGCTGTGCAGACCCACCCTGCGCGGTGGTTTGTGCGCTAGTCAGGGGAAGTTACCATCCGAGTGTGTGCACTGAGACTTGCGCAAATCACTTGTAACCCGTCTGTTCTTTTACGCTCCTGTGGGCACGCGGGTGAAAGGAGCTGATCTCCGGGCTGCGCCCAGCCTGCCCTGTCGAGCAGGTTCGGATGGGCTGTCCCCTGGCATCCTCTCCCTGTGGTCAGGTCTAGGATACCACCCAGCAGTGAACTCCAGAACTTGCATCGTGACTGTGTGCTGTTTGTCCTCTGTCGACAGGGCGCCCCGGCTCCTGCTGCACACGGGACCGATCGTGCTTCTACTCAAGCACCTGCCGCAGCAGCCAGGAAGAAGGTATGAAAAATCTGCTCTTCCTCAACACTAGACACCTGCTGAATTCTGGCCTGGGGACGTGATTTTCCTGCCTCTTGCCGGAGAAGCAAGTAAGTCAACAACACAGGAGCAAGCTCTGATTGTTGGTTTTTTTTTTTCTTTGTTGCATCCTTCCCTCTCCCAGGTAACTCTCTCCTTCCTCGCACTCGGCAGTGCTCGCTGATTTCTGCCAAGGGAGCGTTGCAGAAATTCCAAGCACCTTGCAAAGCAGCCTGCCCAGCGGTTACGTGGATCCTTGCCTGCTGGGTTTACAGCTGGGTGGGCAAGTGCAACAGCTTGGAATAACGTCTGTATGGTAGGGGCTCCTCTCGCGCAGCCAGCTAACGCGTTCTCTGCTCAGCCTCTGACCTGTGGGCTGAGACCCTTTGTTAGGGAACAGATCAACCTTCTCCTGCAGCTTAATGCTCTGCACCGCAAGAACATTGCAAGAGGCAACAGCTTGCGTGGAGGACTTTGTGTTAAAGTCGTAGCAGGTGCCACATGTCAGAATGCCTCTGCAGCTTAAGATGCGTGCAGCTGGAGCAAAAACTTGCCTTACTGAAGGAAATGAGATTGGCCATCTTTCTCCTCCCCCCCTTCTAAATTTGAGTGCTTATGTCACAATGCTCATAATTTCCACATGCAGTTCTTGGGAAGCTACCTGCAGCAGCACCTGAGAAAACAAGCTTGGTTTGAAAACACACGGCGCGTGTTTCAGAAGCAGGGAGCCAGAAGGAATCATAGGCCAAACAGAGACCTCATGAGATCTGCAAAAGATATAGAGAGAGGAAGTTGCGATAGTTACTTGGACCGTAATGACTGCTCGGGCACCGATGCTACAGCCTCAGTTCTTATCTCTATTAAACTGATAGGTATTGTATTGCTGCGCAACGCGATACTGAGATGAAGGCTCTGTGTTTTAATGTAGCCTGGTTTGCTTCCCTCGCTATATTGGTTTCATTAAAGAAGGGTTCTTGGCCCGTCTGGTGACCAGGCCCTGCTTGTGGGAGCATCTCGACAGGGATCTCTGTCTGGTATCATCACCTAGACCTGGTGTCCTGCGGTGCAGGTGCCTGTGTTCTGGCTTGGGTGCCCACCTGTATCCCTCCCACCATGGGAATCTTGTAAAGTCCGACTCGCTCTGCATTTTTCGGGGCTCCTGCCCTCTGAAACGTACCCGGTTTGCTCATGCTTTGGCGCACCAAGTCGAGAACCTCTTTGGCCAGAGCCTGTGCTTCCTCCTGAAACTTTCTGCGTCCTTCTGGAGTCAGTTTCCACAGGCAGGACTTGCGGTTTCCCTCACCGCACACGAAGCCAGTGGTTTTCTCAAAGCAGCTGCTGAAGCACAGGTTGTGTCGGATCGTGTTTTTCCAGCCCTCTGGGGCCGTTTGAAAGAATGGGAAGTGCTGCCTGCGGAGAGAAAAGATTTGTCCTGAGCTGAAGCAATTAGAGGCTGTGACAGGTAACGGAATACGTCGTATCTGAGCAAGGGAAGGAGGAGAGGGTCCTCCCTGACCCCTGTGGCGTAAGGATGGCTGGCACAGTTGAGTGCTGTGTTTTTTCTAAGGAGGATAAGACAAAACTAAAATGCCGGCTCTCGAGACTCCTGGGTTTGGGTGTTGACAAAGAGGGGAAGCAGTTTTCTCAGCAGCATCTTGAGCCAAAGCAGAGCTAAGACCAGAAACAAGTCCTGGCTGCCACATCCCTGCTCCCCAGTAGAAGATCAGAGACTCTTGTACCCCTCATCGCCCCTCTTCCCCTCATTCTGCGCTAGGAGCTGGGAGAAGAGTGGGTACCGTGTGAACTCGTAGATCTGCTGTACGGTCAGACTGCCACTTGCGCTGTTGCACAGGGCAAGGGTGATGAGGATGCAGTAATTCAGGGGGGGACGGGGCCAGCCTCCCTCGACTGCGGTGCTCGTCTGCCTGGCGCACTTAAGCTTCACGCTCTGAGGTCCGAGGACTGCAGATTTCTGAGGCATCAGCATTGCCTTGAGTTCGGGAGTTTCCGGCATCTCCTGAGGAACTAGGATGTCCACTCGCGAAGCATCTTCATCCTCAGTAAGCTGTGGAGAGGAAGGAGAACGAGGATGGGGATATATTAGCCCTGGGTGGAACGAGGGACAGGGATAAGCTGCTTTGTTCTGGGGGAGGGCGGGTCTGGCAGAGTGCATATAGAAAGCTTATATACTTAAAATTTCAGCCTCCTTTCCTGCACTTTGTACTCTCAGGATGTTCGTCAGACGGGCTCCACGCACCGACTGCTGAAACGGGAGGCAACCACTCGCAGAGCTGCTGAGCCAGCTCGTTTGTTCCTGCAGGATCGTTAAGCGCCTAGGACTGCCCAAGCGGTTCCCTTTTTTATACCTTTCCAGCCTCGCTGGAGGATGACAGCACATCGTCCTCAGAGCAGTCCGGATCAGAGTAGTCCCAGGATGTGTTGGGAGAGGAGGCTTCTGTGGCACCAGCAACCGAGGCCACCGGGCTGTCAGATCCGGCCGGGTCTACGCCAGGCTTCCCGGGAATGGGGCAGACCAGGCTGGGGTTTACCCACATCCACAGATGGGGATGAATGCCAGGTTCTAAGGAGAAGGAGAAAGGTCACCCCGCCGGTCCTACCTGAGGACCGTTTCTAGACCCTGCTGTCCAGAGGCAGCCGGGGGCAGCTCTAATGCAAATCCCAAGACAAAGGTCCCCAGTTGCCCTCTCATCCCTCTAAATAGTGTTTTATTTCCTGTTTTGCATAGAGTGTGCATGTCTGCGTGTTCCTGCGCCACTGCGGCCAGCCCGAACAACGGTGCGCAGGTCTGAAGTTTTACTTTCTCTTTCCC